GAGAGAGGGAACACAAGCAGGGGGAGTGGGAGAGGGAGAAGCAGGCTCTCCACTGAGCAGGGAGCCCGATGCGGGGCTCGATCCCAGGACCCGGGGATCATGACCTAAGCCAAAGGCAGACGCTTAACTGACTGAGCCACCCAGGCGCCCCAAGGCTCATGTTTTGACTGACAGCTTTTATTGCAGAACTCTAGGTAGGAGCAAGATGTACTAAGCGAAGGAGACCCGGGAATGGAGACAGGTCAGGTTTATGCCCAGTTGCAGCAATCACAGCTGGTGTCAAAGACATGCCTGGCCTGGCAGTTCTGCTGGTATGTGACTCCATTCAGGCAGTGCCAGAAGGCATTTCTGTTATTCGCCACAGGGTAGAGGCCGTTGGCTTTTCCGGCACAGAATCCACTGCCCCCAGAACTGCCTCCAGAGCTGCTTCCAGAGCTGGGCTCCTGCTCCCACTTCCCCGCTCCCACTTCCGCCCCCACTTCAGCTCCTGGGAGGAGGAGTTATGGGTTCCACAGGCTGAGCAGGGGCGGTGCAACCTGAAACAGCACAAAACAGACTCATGGACCTGGAAGAGGCTCCCACCCTCGCCTAGAGGGGAGGAGACTAGTGGCCCTGAGGAGAAGGTCTGGAGGTGGAGTGCTGTTAGCTCTGGATCCCTACAAGTGAGGAGATCACAAGATAACTCCATACTCAGGAAAAGCTATAATTTCAAGCCACTCTGCTTTTAAATTTTAAAAAGTTCTCTCTTCCCTGATGATGTCAAAATCATTAAAAAAAAAAATTACTGAGCATCAGTATGTGCAAAATACTTGCCTAGGATCTGGGTATAAGTGGCAAGCCAATGAGCTCTAAGAGAAAAATCTGGAAAAAATTTAAGGATGTGGTATTTCCCCTGAATTACAGATTAGAAACATGTGAGCAGTACTGAGGGTTTCTTGTTCAGTCTCTAGGGGGGCTGAAAGAGACTTTTCATGAGGGAAGTGTTCATAGAAAAGTAAATGCGTATATATTGAAGGCCAGCCAAATTTCTTGGGGCTTTTCCACACCTTTAAGACTTAGCCGAGGTGGAAAACTCAGGTAGGCCTGGTTTGCCATAAAAGCATGACATTCCTTACCTGGAAGTTCAAGGGTAGGGAAAGAATGGAGCACCTGTGTCTCAGCTGGGCAAGAGCAGTGAGGTGAAATGTGAAGTGACTCCCTGGCCAGTGGAGGTGGGCAGATGTTAGAGCTGCCTTTTGACTGGGAGAAGGAGCAATTGTATACCCCTGGCATCCTTCTGTTTTCACTTACTTGCACTCTGCAGCCCAAGAGCTTTCTTCAGGGTGTTGATCAGGGGGAACTTGCCCAGGTTGCAGAAAGTGCCTGTGAAGTCATCCAGGTCAATGGCCCAGACCATGGCACCTCCAAAATTGTTATCCTTAAGCCACCAAGCCTATTTAAGGACAGAGGACACCAGAGGTCATTTTACTTCCCTGGACTCACGGCTGGGCCCGCAGTATGTCAGACAGGCTGACCTTACCTTGAGACCGAAGCTCTTGACATCATCATAACCAACCCACTCGTTGCCCTGATAGGTGTAGGGCACATCCTGAGGAGCATCCCATGCCTGAGTGGCTCCATTTTTCAGGAAGGTACAGATCTTTAAAAAGTCAAGAGATTCAAATCTTTTAAATAAGATTCCCATGAAAGAAAAAACAAACACTTGCCTCTTTGATTTTTTTTTTTCTTTCATGTCTCCAATTGGGATTTTCCTGGTTTCTAATTATGGGTTGTTATTTGAAGTAAATAATATCAAGTTGCTGTTGAAATATTCCTGTTATCCCTACCCTTAATACTTGATTTTGGGAGCCCACATTACTTTGAGAGATATAGTTCTTTTATTTTCTTACATGCTAATATAAATGACCTTAAGTATGTAGTTTGTTGCTTGAAGGGATATTGCACATTCTAAGTGCTCTTCATACTGGATTAGGTAAATGAATAGGTAAATGAATTTAAACTCTTAAAGCATTTGGAATGATAGCTGTATTTTAAGTAGATAAGTAGCGGACAGAATGAGCCTTCATTCTGTTCAGCACAGGGCATGGAATTCACAGAACTGTATAGTCTAATCTACCTACCTCACAGTAGGCCCAGAACCCAGCCTGCCTGGCGTAGGGCCCAGCAGGACCAGCGCCAGAGGTGGGGGCGCCAATGCCAATGTTGGAGGAGTCACTCAGGGTGAAGGTGTGGCCATAGGTGGGGACTCCCACGATGAGCTTCTCAGCTGGAGTCCCATTGTCCTTCCAGTAGTTCATGACGTAATCCTGCAATGACAGTGTGTTAGCTAGGGGCTCCACCAGGCTGATGACCCAGCGCTTAGTTATGTTAGTCCACTGTTCTTTTTTTTTTTTTTTTAAAGGTTTTACCTATTTACTTGAGACAGAGAGAATGAGAGACAGAGAGCATGAGAGGGAGGAGGGTCAGAGGGAGAAGCAG